TGTCAGAGTCTCAGGTGTGTTTTAAGTAAAAACGCAGCTTCTTTCTGACCTTCCCCTTTACTCCCAGGTGTTGGTGAGCTGGGGCTTGAGGGCAGGTGTGGCAAGCAGGGTGCATTTATCTGCATAACCCTGCAAGGTAGCTCTGCGCCTCTAGCCTAAGGGCCTTAGCGGGGGTGGGGGGGGCAAGGTACAAACTGATGAGGGGGTGTACACTCTTCACACTTTGGATTGTGCTTCCATTTTCTCAAGTTGGGTTTAGAAGCAAGTCAACAAAAGCTTATGGGTTAAATTGCCATATTTGAGTAAACTTAGTGTTTAGACTTTTTATGGTGAGAACTTAATTCATTGTGCTGGAACGTGTGTGTGTGTGTATTGGAGTATAATTGCTTTACAATGTTGTGTTGGTTTCTGCTGTACAGTGAAGTGAATCAGCTATATGTATACACATATCCCTTCTGTCTTAGAACTTGTTTTTAATGTTCCATAATTTGGTTTCTGTAAATAGTGATTTAATGATCAGATTTGATCCATTTCAACAATTATAAAAGGTCCTGGGACTTCCCTGGTGGTCCAGTGGGTAAGACTCCACGCTCCCAATGCAGGGAGCCCGGGTTGGATCCCTGGTTGGGGAACTAGATCCCGCATGCATGCTGCAACTAAGAGTCTGCATGCCACAACGAAGACCCGGTGCAGCCAAAATAAATTATTAATTAAAAAAAAACTCACGTCGTTTTTTTTTTTTTTTTGGTTTTACTGCTTCTGCTTTGGGGGGTGATTGCTCTGTGGCTTTGACTTACTGTGCTACTTTCTATAACCTGCATGTCTTCTCCCTGGGTAGAGGATGGATAAAAGCTGTAAACAGGGGAAACTTTCTGTCAGCTGTTGAATGAAGAACCATGTCATGAAAGAGCCTCCTGCATTGTCGTGGTTGTGTTCTATGTGAACGCTGTTCCCTGGTGCACTGGAGTGCCATTTTTACAGAGTACAGTCTGAATGCCCCAGAGTTGTGCCGGGCAGCAGCCCTTGGATTAAGGTGCCGTTTTATATTCTGCACGCAAAGTAAAGGCCATAAACAGGAGAGCTGCCTGGTAGTATGTTGCTGGGGAGATAAGTTTTTTGTAGTTGAGGTGTGGTGTTGTCTAATGAAGTAGGATCATAATCATGGGATTTTAACAGAAGAACTATTGAAGATCGAGTCTTGGCCTTCTCATTTTACAGGGCAGTGAAGAAACCAGAGACCAGAGAAGGGTATTAATTTAACTTCACCAGTGTTACACAGTAGTTAGAATGTCTTTACTCCCTGCCTGTTTAATGTGTTGCTTTCTGTTTTTATTAGCCTAGAAGTCACAGTGTGGGTCAGTACTTTCTCCATTTGAGGTTTTTAGCAATGACCAGTTTCTTTTGAGAACTTACTTTGGAATTTTGATTCATAATTTAGCACTTTTTTTTTTCGTAAACAGGCTGTACCAGTGCAGGTCCTCACTTTAACCCTCTATCCAAAAAACACGGTGGGCCAGAGGATGAAGAGAGGTGAGTGACCTTAACTCTTTTTGAAATAATAGCGACAGCTTTGAGGGGGCAGTATGGGTATATGACCTGCAGATTGCATGCTAAGATAATTGCACCTCTGCTCTTGAGTTTGTTGCCCCCATGTAACCCCTTGCCCCCAAGTGCTGGAATGGCTTACCCCTTGGGCTAAGGAATTAAATAGGGACACTTAAAACGATTTGGTTTTGTAGCATTTATTGAATATAGAGCTCATACAAGCGTCAAAGGGATCTAATACAGGAAATGTCATGAATAACAGTACTGTCAACCACTAGCAAAATAAACCATTGTGAAACACTGGAAGGTTTGTAGGTAAAAATTTGATATTGAAAATTCAGTGAGACTCCCATTTGTGTTTGTTTTCTGAGAGCCTTTCAGGAAAATATTAAATTTAAGGACAAGGATTAATTTATTTTTATATCAGAGGCCTAGGGGCATAGCTCTGCCATGCCAGGAAGTAACAGGCGTAACTCAGTAACTTAGAGTTTACCCTTTGGTCCTTTACCTGTGAAATTAGAGGTGCACCCCATCCTACCACTCTTCCCAGAGCATTGCTTTATAGACTTGAAGCCTGTGTTTGAAGAGCTGTGTGTCTAGAACATCTAGTTACTTGTTTTTAAACTTACATGTTTTTCAGGGTTTTGTCAGTCTGGAAAAGTGGGTTCTATTTGATACAGACTATATCCACCTCTTAGCCCACCCTTACATATCTGACTCAGTCCATTTTTAATTTAGCTCATGAAGTAAAGTTAAATAGAAACCAGTCCTGATCCCTCTAACGCTTTTTCAACGTTAGGCATGTTGGAGACCTGGGCAATGTGAAGGCTGACCAGAATGGTGTGGCCGAAGTGCGTATTGAAGATTCCGTAATCTCACTCTGTGGAGACCATTCCATCATTGGCCGCACAATGGTGGTAAGTGTTCATATAATAAGAATATGCATAAAATTACTTCTAACACATGGTCACATATGTTTTCATGATTTCATGATTATTAGTCCTGGTTTCTAAGGATCCATATAAATTGTACTTTTAGTTCAGATTAGGAAAAGCAATTATTTTATTGGATGATTACAGTGAAGAATAATTAATGATCTAGGTCAGTTAAGAACACTGTTTTGCTAAGATGCGGTAATAAAGTAGATTACATTAGATCGTATTAATTAGATCTGTGTTACAGAAACAGGAGTGGTCTTCATCTAGTTTTTAAATGGCCAGACTTTCTTGCCACTACTGGGTTTTCCCCTTGTAGTTAACCAGAGCGTCTTAAGTCTGAAATTGGATGGACCTCAGTACTAATACTCATTCATGTCTGCAGGTTATCACCACTTGTGGAAGCAGTTGCCCCAAGTTACGTAGAGCTGCATCTGGTTCATACAGAACACCACCTAGGATAGGCTCCCTTTTGCCTGCCCCAGAGGACAGTTAACATTCAGGAGACACCTCCTTTCAGTTGACCCTTTTATTCTTAGAATTTTCTTCACCTGTAGTTGTGAAGCAGAAAAAATCACGTATCAGTGTTTGATGAGCAAAATTTAAAATACTACTGCTTGAATACGTCAAGATATTTTTAGGATTACCTCTTGTTTATGGGTCCGTAATTAGGCATGATTTTGATGTTCTTTTTTGTTGTTTACTTTTTTTTCCCCCAAAGCAATTTATACAATAAAAGAATGACTACTGTAACTGAGATTACTAGAATTTCTCATGTTGGATTCAGCATGTGGCAGCCGTGTAACCTAATTGTGTGGGTTTTTTGTATTTCATTTAGAGATAGCACTGCTTACCTAGTGTTTGAGGGTAACTATTTCTTTGCTTTATCAAGAAAAAGCTTTGAGGAGTAGTTTCTACTTTTTACTATTAGATTAAATATTAGTATACTTTCCTCCTAGTAAAATTATTTTAACATGTTATTTTCTAATATTAAATGGTTCTTAAAAGTCTTTTGGGTATTGTTGAGAAGATACGGTAATTGCTTGATAGCCCTAAGTTAATGTGTTCTTAAAATTTTTTAAAGGTCCATGAAAAACCAGATGACTTGGGCAGAGGTGGAAATGAAGAAAGTACAAAGACAGGAAACGCTGGAAGTCGTTTGGCCTGTGGTGTAATTGGGATCGCCCAATAAACATTCCCTAGGAGGTGGTCTTGAGTCCTAGTAACGCATATGTTATCTTGCTAGTTGTAGAAATTTAGAGAAACATTAAACACCGTAACCTTAAAAGTGTATTTTGTGTGACTTTTAATTGCTTTAAGTACCTGTAATAAGAACTGATTCATGATCACTTGAAGATTTGTATAATTTTATAAGACTCATACTCAAAGTGTCTTGTTTCAGTGGTCTCTGTATTTTGCCAAACTTAGTCACATATGGATATTATTTGTCTGAATTTCTTCAGTTCTCAAGCCTGCAATAAACATTCTCTGTGGCACTACTGTATTTTGAGCCTATTAAAGTATCTAAGTTGAAATTCTAAATTAGCTCTGATACTCATACACAGAGCTTGAATGGAACAGATTTAGTAATATGTTGACGGGTATTAACTTCCATAGAGCTCTTTTTTGAAAGTGTTTGTTCTAAATGAGATCAGAATGTTTAAAATGTTAGCAACTGGTAAATTTAGCTAAGACTAAGCTGAACTTTAATCTCAGACAAATAGGCTATCCTTTGTTAGCTTTAGGGAAATTAAAGTGGTACCTTTATTTTAAAAAGTAGATGTTACAGTTTAAGAGAGCCCTTTGATAACTTTCAGTGAAATTGTGAATGGCAAGTTAGTTAGAGCTTCAGGTAGCTGAGAAGACTTACCTACCTGTCAAATAGCACATTCTGCATTTTTGTAGAACTGTGAACGTTTAGTTTATAATAAAAGTAGAGGTTGGCACAATCTGCTTTCAGATAAGCTCCTTAAAGAAATACATTATGCCACTGTAAGGTGGAAGCAAAGAAATGTTTGTGGGTTCTGTTTGTTTAAATACAAGAACTGACACACCCAGTTAGTGAATTCAAGTCTGTTTCTCTTAATGGAAATATGTACCTGTAAGAGAATGCTTTTAAGTGTTAATCTAACTCAGGTTTGACGGTGGGTTATAATATTACTTCTGATAGGGAAGCCAGATAAGCAACAGTTTTGGTTGGTCGTAAATTATATTATGGACTTTATCAAGCGAAGGTCACTTAGGAGAGGAAAAGCTAATTTAGAGTAAGAATTTGTAGTCTGTGTGTGTTTTCAAAGTTTTAAATTGGTGGTAACAGTATGCTCACAATAATGGTTACAACTACCATCAGGTAGGGAATTTAAAAACAAACACTAACAAACAGATTACATAATGTACAGTTTTGTTACATAAATGGGATAAGACTCAAATACAGGACTTGCTTGTGTCCTTTAAAGCCTCAAGTGTAATTACTACCACTTGGTACTTTCGGGGTTTTGTCATGTGCAAATAGGGTGACCCTTAATACTTTCAATTGGAAATACAGGGCTGCGAGTCCTTGAAATCTGAACACTAATCAGTCAGGTGTATTTTTATTTCCAAAAGCAGTTTCAGCTGGGACTTTTAAACTTCTCAGTGGGCCAACATAAAACAGGATAAATTTTATAACTCAAATCTGCATATATGAAACCGGATTTTCTCTTACTTTCCAAAGGCAGGGACTCAAGAACACTGCCCTAGATAAATACATTTTCCCCCCATCAAAACAAACAAAGGTCTTGCTGCAGAGAACTCAAAACCAAAGTAATAAAGCAGCTTCTCGCCTGGGGATGAGGGTAAAGAAAAAAGTTATCTTACGCACACTGAAACAATGACAGTTTAAAAATGTGATTTAAGAAGAAAAAAGCTTCAAGGCCGAAAGTACTAGGATTATGTTAACGGTCTTTTCCTTGGCACTAGGTAAGCAGCTTTATGTAACTGCTTTTCTTTACTATTTCAGGTATAGGTTTGATTTGGCTTTGGATGTGTTCATGTAATAGCTCTTGGATAACCTACGACTATTTTTCCTAGTTAACCCAACAATTTTAAGGAAAAGAGAGAAAGTACTTTGTAAGTGGCAAAAAGTTCAGTTTACCTCTGCCCAGCAGGGGACTTTAAAAAATGGTAAAGAAAGGCAACAGGCGAGGCTTGTAGAAACAATAGGTTGCATTTAAGTCCTTAAACAGGTAAGACCATAAGCTCTTAGGTTGCAAATACTAACCTTGATTTCTTTCACCCTTTTGAAAAATTTCATGGGATGGTTAAGAAAAACACCCAACCTTCTTTCTAAATAAGTAATACCCAGGCAATCAGATAATTTATAGTACAACGGGTAATGTTGGGGTCCAGTTTTTCCCCCAGCGAAAAATTTTTTTTACAATTAATTATTTAGGGCAACATTTACCACAAAGTCAATGGCAAAAAAAGAAGACCTTGACTGAATTCCAAAACAAGCTTTTCAGTTAACATTAAAACCACTAACCTTTGCCTTATGATTGAAATGCTAAAAATAAAAAATATTACAAATGAAGTGTTTGAGACTAACTACATAAAGATGTCTATTTCCATCAAATATACAAGTCTAATTTAGACTCCAGCACAGTATTAACAGCTCAAACTTTGATGGTGAACAATCCTTTTCCACCTTAATGCAGTGTAGGAAGAATAGCACACATTAAAGTTTGTTACGAAAATAGAGTTTATTAAAAACATCCCTATTGTTTTTGAGGAGCTTTCACCGTTACCTTGTCTTAAATTAAAAAAAAAAAATAGAGAGCACTTCTAATTACGATTTGTAAACTTTTTAAAGTCAAAACTTTTAAAAAGTTACAGCAAAAAGGGTAATATTTATTCATATTTTCAGTATTTTTTGTTATTTTGTGGCTATTTTTAAATAGAAGGGAAGCAATCAAATTGCTTACAATTCCCCACCAACTACTGCGGGGCTGTGATATAGCAGGAGCAAGTATAATACAGCATCTGTACACTTCAAGCTCTACACTCCAGGAAGTGTCACTGTCACATGTGGACAAATTCCAGTCTCTAACGAGGAGCCTCGGCTGCTGAGCCAGAATCCTTTTCAGGTTCAACGGATGAGGTAGCCTCAGCAGGTAACTCTTCAGAAGGTTTTACAACTGCAGACTCAGACTCCCCCTTATCAAGTTCTGAAACAGTGTCTACATTTCCCACTTGGCTAATGGGAGGTTCAACGGTTTTGTTACCACCTGCCCTGTCTGTCACCTCAGGCTTCTCCTTGCCTCGGTTTTCCTCCTTCTCTCTACGAGACTCTCTATCTCTAGAATCTCTCTCTCTGTCTCGATGCCCACTAGAGCGTCTATTCCTCTCTTCCAAGTCTCTGTGCCTGTCCCGGTCAGGGCTCCTTCTTCCCCACTCTCTCCTTTCACGATTACTATTCTCTCTATCATCATTACGGTTCCCATACCGTTCCCGGTCATTTTCCACCCTATTTCCAAAAGATCTTCTTCCAAACCTTTCTTGGTCTCTACCTGAAGTGAACTGCTGCCTGTTATCGTTTCTAAACGGCTGTGGCTGCGTCGGCGGCGGCTGTGGTGGCTGCGTCGGTGGCTGTTGCTGCGCCTGCGGTGCCGGCGGCGGCTGCTGCTGCTGCTGCTGCGGCTGCGGCTGCCTTCCATCTCTGTCCTCGGGACCCCCTGGGCCTGGCCCTGGGCCCCCGAGCCCTGGCACTCCACCGGGCCGGACAAAGGGGCCGTGGGGAGGAAAGGGACCTTTCATTCCATGAGGCGGAGGCATCCCGAAGCCCCCGGGGCCTGGTGGCGGACCTCTATGCATCATATGCGGAGGCATGGGGCGAGGCGGCATCAGAGGAAAGCGTGGCAGGTGAGGTGGAGGCATTCCTGGCGGGCGCTGGAGTGGGATCAGGCCAGGTCGGGCACCAAGAAGACCAGTGGATGGGGCTTGGAGCCCAATTACTCCTTGAGTACCTGCAAGGCAATAAAAATTAAAGTGTAAATAAAATAACATAGAAGACAGCATATTCTATTTCCAATTATTTCCCGTGGGGCTTGAAGCAAAATGAAATTCAACCCCAAATTCAAATTTCATACTGTCTGCCTGTCTACCTAGCAGAAAAATGTGACAGCCCAGTAACAAGGCAGGGCAAGCAGTCCTGGAGACACATACTATGTATACACGTCTACCTAATATAGATACAGGTCAAAATAAGCTGCAAAAAGAAATCGTAATATACCAAATTTTGGAAAGAGTACGTCAGAATCTCCTTCTATAGCCTTGACTAGTAGCTGTTTACCACTCAAAATACTTGAGAAACACATGTGCGCTGAGATAAAAGAAATAATGAGATAAAGAACTGAACTATTTGACCCAACTGAAGGTTATTTCAGGTGTACTCTTAGAAGAAAACTTCTTACTCTAAGTCTTAATTTGACTTTTTACTAGGAAAACATGGGGTCAATGACCCAGAAAATCCAGTGAAGAGGGAGGTTTCTTTGATTCTGTCATTAAAATGCTTTGTGCAGTTATTATGCAGTAAGCATTACTTTAATGTTTATAAAATAAAGATCCATGCACAAACATAGAGTTTATTTTTACAAGTCCCTCTTCAAACCACAGCATAACGTGTAAACTGCTATGCCGAAATGACTGCTGAACAATGCTGCGTGCCCAGCCAGTCACCTTCTATTCACTTTCCCAAAGGTGGCAAAACTGATAAAGTTAGTGCTGCTGCTGAAAGTGACAATGCCTTTATTTCCCATTTACAGGAGTGTGCTTATGCTTTAAGAATCAAATTCAACCCATCATTTATAATACCATGGAAAAGGACGATCTGTTGTGGTTCACAACTTAAGTAACAGGTATCGTGGTCTCTCAATTTATTTCTTTGCAAATATAAACATCACAAGGCAAATACTATGACCAACAAGAGTTATTCTAATAAAGGAAAATGTTCCAGATATTGTCAGAATGTGCCATTTATCCATGTACTGCAGAAATGCCTTTGAGCAAGTTGTGCGTTATGACCATCAACTGGCAATGGTGAGAAAAATGCTTGCGTGACACTGACAGAAAAACCACCGGAGAGCAAACCCAATACTTCACCTTTTTGTCCCCAGCATCATATTATTTTATGTTTACAGTTTCAATCACTTCCACTCACTTTAGCAAACATTTAACAAGTCCTATTTGCTCCTAGATTTTCTGTATAAACAATTAATACTAATATGATAGACAAGAATTTCTACTTCAGTTTTTGTTCCTCAGGACATATGGTCCAATACTATTCTGTCAGACTTAGGCACCAAACAGAGTAGACTGGAAAATGTTATGTGCATCAGTTTATAACTCTTAACATGAAGACTCACCGCCTTGGTATTTACTTAAACAGAGTACCTTCTTTTAAATGCTTAAAGAGAAATACATTCAGTGAAAAAGATCTCACATAGGAGCAACCTTGGACACATGCCTCAGAAATGGGGATAATAATACCTGCCTGTTGTTGAGATTAAATGGGATAAAGTACATAAGCATGAGCTCAGAGCTTGGCACACAGTTAAGTGCTGAAATTATTATTCTACACATCTATTTTGACAGACGATAAGTATCCTAACACTAAATATTTCACTTTGCAAAAACACATTTTTCTTTTCTGATCATTGAGATCTTACTGGCCTCTCCTGGTCCCCCAATATCCACCAAGCACTTTGGTAACTGGGAAAAAATTATGCTTCCATATGTCAGGCCTAAAGTTGAGAAATGCTAATTACCATAGTGAAAAGCCAGAAGTGATGAATTGGATGAACAAGGCCAAGACCCCATAGACTCTTTACACTCTCCTCAGGAAATCCCAGACAATGAATATATTACAGAGCTTATACTATTATCTCAGACTGATATAAAATTCATGGCAAACTAACATTCTTCTTATCATTTAGTGAACATATATTGAGTACATACCATACAAGGGACAACAAGACACCTAAGATATGTCCTTGCTCCCACCTTTTAAAGAAATCGTAGAGCCGCAACATTTGTGGACTTTAACTCAAAACAAGCAACATAAAATGTGCACCCATGTACAGCCTCCTTCAATAGAGTCATCATATAGAGAAGCACACTTCAACAAATTGAACTTTACTTTCCCACCAGCTTTACTCAAGGATGAAACCGGTAAATGTTTACTCTGTTAAAGACTTGTTGTGGCACATTCCAGTACCTAACGATATGCTCAAGGGGCCAATAGCAAGTTTTAAATAACACTAGAAAAATGAGGAAGGGGTTCAAAGCATCTTATTGTAACAGAAGAATTAAGTTCAGATGAACCTTTAAGAGGAAACAGACCTTTGCAGGACAATGGGAAGGTCCTATTCCTGATTTCCCCATAATGATGGCTTCCTCAGCTACCAATCTGACAGCTTGCCAAAGGAAGCAAGGCCAACCTCAATCTTGTACAGAAGAGCGCAAATGGGCAATGATTCTTTGTAAAATATAAACCGATCTCTAGCAACACATCTCTAAGTTTTTTATAACATGCATTTGAGGGTACATACGGGTTCATTTAACAGGGTTAACTTTTACAGTACCCATATATTTAAAACTCCTACAAAGCACATTTTTTATAAAGAGAAAAACATAGCCTAATTCATCTATTCCATATATGTGGATATTTGTATTTGGGATTTACTTAAAATATTATTCAAATTCTTTCCCTCTTTTGTAAATAAGCTGATTTCCTTTTAACCCTTTACAGACCAACAAGGTTTACAGATTCCCCCAATAGAATTCCCACCGCTCCAAATGTTGGCCTTCAGGGCACAGAAGTGGTGGAATTAGGTATTTTTTTCTCTTCTGTTGTTCTGCAGTGAACAAAAAAGTACTGCTTTTATAATAACAGTTATATTTAATTAAAAAATATATCAGGTGGCATAAGCCCTTGGTAGGCATAAGAGCTGAATTTCATTTTTATTTTTATTAGGAAAGCTGTCATGATGCATATACCAATGGAATACACAGTGAGTTACCCAAGTCTAAAGGACATTCAAAGCAATTATTCATTTTGTTTGGAAGTATGACGTGAAATACCTGACAAGTTTTCTAGAGTTAAAAACTTTAAAAACTTTATTTATTCATACATATGTTGAACATCTAAGCTTTACATTATTAACATATTTAATGTGCTGGGGATATAAAGATTAAAAAAAGTAATCATCTTTTCCTTCAAACAGAACATAACATAGTAGAAACAGACAAATGTCAATTGCTGTCAATAGGAGACGGCACACACTATTATGGTGACAAAGGTGGAACTGACAAAGTCAGTGTGTGTGAATCTGAGCGGGAGTCCCAGGGGAATGTCTGAATTGGGTCCCAAAGGAAAGGAAGAACATTCAAGGCCAATTTAAGGAAGGACATTACTGGTTAAAGAGAACAGCGGCTTCTGGAAAGGCCTATTATATTATTAGCAAAGTGAAGCAGTAAAGTGTGTTGTTCTGAGAATTGCAACAGAATGTCTTTTGATGAGAATCAAGGAGAGAAAAGATGAGGTTTATTATTGAAGCAGCAAGAAAGAATCTGTATGAATACAGATTGCTATCAATTAAAAAAGAAACAAATGAGGTTTGTGAGGCTGAACAGTTAGGCCGGGGCAATCCAGGTCTTATATGCCATGGAAAGGAACCTGGACTCTGATCTAGAGTGGTGGGAAAACCGCGGAGAAATTTTTAGCAGGGATGATCCTCATGTTCATTTCTGAAAGACCTCTCCAGCAAATAGCATACAGGAAAGCAAGGAGGCAGAGGACACTGAATAGTAGTTAGGCTCTTATTCCAAGAATCTAGGGAAAAGAGGTGAGAGACAACTGAACGACGTGCGAGAGATGAAGAACAGACTTAAGCCCTTTAGTAGGCAGGACTGGCAGAATATGAGATGGAGGAACATAGCTGCTTCGAATGAGTGGGTGGATGAAGGCATCAACTCAATGCAGGAATTTAGAAAGAGGAACAATTTCCGGAGACAGACAACAAATTTCACATGTTAATACTGAGAGTTGGAGGGGCCTAGGCTACACCTGGTGGAAATGTGCTGAAGTGATTGATTAAATGTACAGAGCTCAGAAGAACCATGGTGTTAACTTATCCAGAACATGGATGAAACAAAAAAGGGAAGAGTTCAGACCTGGGGAAACTCACACTATAGACAGAAGACTCCAAATTTCCTAATACAGCAAGATTTTAAGGCAGACCAAAAAAGTGACAGCCCCAAATGTCTCTACTTCAATTCAAGAAGTATAAGAAATACACTGAAGTTTAAATAACCAAGGCTATTTCCTATGATGAATCAAAAAAAACCCACTTTCACAAAAAGTAAAAATCAAGATTAAAGGGGAGGTGCCAGTGCTTTCTATAGCGAAGACGTTGGTAATTATGGGAAATAAAGAACAGGTATGTTAAAAGATTAAAGGGGTGGTGAAGGAGGGGAAGGCTGATATCATGACTGGAGACCAGTGTGGACCTTGAAATGTCAGGAGAATGTTAGTTGAACCCTTTCATGGAGGATGTAAATTTAAGTTGGATCTTTCACACACACACAAAGGAAGGGCAGAGAGAACATCTGAAAAGGGAAATCAGTAGAAAGGGCGGTTCTTCTACCTCTTCTCCGCCCATCATCTTGTCTTGCATTCTACCACAGCCAACGCCTCTAGGAAGTCCTGGACCTTTCATTACAAGTAACTTTATCACTTCTGAATTCTCATTTTCAAGTACCCCACTCTCTGACCCTCTTTCCCAAAACAACCTTCAATCCCACTAGGATCAAGTCCCCAATGCCCTTCATGTCTTTACTTTCCTCCTTACCTGTCTTGGAGTCCACGGTTCTCCCTTACCATGTTGCCTGGAAAAACCTCAACACTGGCTTTAAATGCAACTCCTCTACCTAACCTGCACCTGAATACGGCTGGGCACCACCTCCG